AATCATTTAACAACATAAGGTCCTTGCACTGCAAAAGCAGTCGCGGAGCCTAATCATTTAACAACATAAGGTCCTTGCACTGCAAAAAACAGCCGTGGAGCCTAAAACCTGACAAAAAAAGGGGTCCTTGCACTGCTTGCAGCTGCGGAGCCCGTTAGTAAGTCCTATCACTGTATCTACAACCACGCGCCTAAAAATTCTGGTATCTTGAAACGGGTGGGTTGGGAGGGTACGTAGCCAGCCCTAACTACTGGGCGAGCAATAGCGAACAGAAAGATATCGACATCTACCAGAACAATTAACAATTAAATACATCATCCCCCAAACTGATTATCAACCCTCCCTGCCCTACGACGCAATTCACATGTGAAACTCCTTTAACATTCCCTTAGATTACAAACCATAATTACCGCTTAAACTTAATTCATGAATAACCAAATTCGAATATTTATATGTTAACCAATATGACTCCTAAAATGCCTGAATACAAACAAGATACGTACGCACAAAAATAAAAACATGTTTACTCCGAAAAAGGATACACATATACTTGCATATGATCTACCGTAAAGTCATCTGATCTCGCAATAATGATCGCTTCGTCACTTCGTTGACAAGCTTCTCAATTAATCATGTGCATGGTCGTCTGCATGGGTAGCTGCATGGTGATCGGCAAAATGCGCATTATTTATGTTCGTATGCTTCAAAAATGAACTTAATTAAAGTTTAATTAGTTTCGTATTTAATATATAAGGTTCTTATTACTAATCTTTAATTCACTCTAGATTTTCACTTTAAAAAAATATTGCCTCTATGAAATCACAGAGACGAGAGAAATACGATAAACAAAATACGATAACGATTTATTTAAAAGGATTTTGGAACTAAATTACTTTATTTCTCACAGATATATTAGATTTTTATATAAATTTTTATCATTAGTAAATATTTCTAATATACCTTTTCTACTTACCATCAACCATTTTTACATTTGTATCCTTTCCGTCATATTTGCTGTATCTGCCATATTGGCAGATTTTGACTGATTCAAATAAACTGACCTAAGCCACTTCAACGATCTTTTCATCCAACAATATACATAATAGTTTATTTACATAATCTATAGTAAGTAAAAATGTACAAGTACAATGTGTCATTGTTAATTAAATAGTTGTTAAGATTGCAAACCTCGCAAAAATTAGTTAATTTGTTAAAGCCTTGCATAGAGATAGTAGATCAAATTTAAAATTAAGATTAGCTAATTGTTATAGATTGCTGATTATTTAGTATCATGAAGTAAAATTAGGATAGGTTGGACGTTTTTGAATATTTTATATAAATATTTTAGGTTAAAAGTGTTTTAAATATTATGAACTAAGAGTCTTTAATATTATGAACTTGACATGTTGTAGTTCATCTGCAGTAAAGGTCCAGGCTTTTTTGATATAATTAGATGCTTATCTTAGACATATTTGTTCTTCAAACTCTGCTTATTTCTCATTAGGGATGGAAAATTATAACTTGTAAATCCATAAGTATTACAAAGAAAAAGAAGATATGACATTAAAAGAACTTTTGTATTAGGTCGTTGCCAATACGGTATTAATTTATGCAAGATTCGGATGAATTTCAGCAAGGTTTTTGCAGATCTGGAGCAGATTAATATTCTACGGGCCGAATTTTAGACAGATCTGGTATATATATTACCGTTAGAATTAGGAATTATAGCTGATCAGTATAGTATGGTTTTAATTTTGGCTAGTATTGCTCACTCATACCATACATAATACACGGAATACATTGATCGAGAAAATTACGCTCACGAATGTTTCATGAATATGCAATGTGCAACAATCCAATTTTTTTTAATATATACCGTAAAATCTCGAAATAGCGGGATCTGCGTGCTATTTCGAGTACGCCTATGGGCGTTATTTCGAATGTATAGGCTAATTTTCTGAATATGATGTTAAATAGCCCACAAAGGACTTGTTTGGACTGGATTTGGGACTAACTTTTTAGGGCAGGTCTGAAACTAGTCCAGATAAAATTTAATAAAAGAAAATAATGAATATTTTTGACATTTTGTTTTCAAAATTATCTATATTGTATGTTAAGCTGCTAAGTTAGACCGGACTTTTGAAGAACTGAAGCTATTTATATTATATATTGATATTGTGGCAATGATCACTACAGGCAATATGAAGCAATTCTATTAAATAATACCCAATTAACAATATCATATACTATCAAACCTAAGTAAGTTTTAACTATTTTAGTAGGTTTAGGTTGCAGATAAATCAGAATTTCTAGTTGATAGTTTTTGGTAGTATACGTCTTATTTTTGTAATTTGGTTCTGGCCAAAGTAACCTCTAGTAGATTCTCAATATAAAATATTAATAAAGATAAAGACAAAGCTTTACCTTAAAAAAATTTATATAATATACAAATTACATAAAATATAATTTATATCAAATTTTATAAAAGATTATTTGTTATAAAATATAGATATAAGGTTTGGGCTCTGTAGCTTACTGGTTAAGCTCCAAACCTTCACAGACAAGGTTGACAGTTTGAGTTAGGCTGGTGGCAAATTTTTGAATTTGCTACTGTAACTTTATGGAGCTATAATCAGATACGAAAACCTGTGGAAAGTCCAAGCGCAATTATAGTTTTGAAATAGGAATTTCTGGAAGGAGCTCTGATCATGAAGTACAGGCATTATGTGTAATAGTGGTATCACAGAAGGTCTCTTGTTCCTACTCAAAAACTAAACTAACTACACTTAAGAGAAACTTCTCTAAAACTCTCTAAAAACTAAAGAACTATAATCTAAGCTGCCATCCCTATTTATATACATATTATTGCAGTATGTATTCAATAATAATCAAGACTCAGGAAAATTTTTACAAATTTAGAATATTGAACTAACTAAAAAAGGAAACTGATTTATTTTTAGTGCGTTTAGTGTGTCATTTTTATATGTAGCAAACCTTATCGTTATATTTCCATGAGATACTAAATCACTATGCGGCTCCTACCTAGTAGAAATGAATTACTCACATACATAGTCCAATTTAATAAACTAGTTTCATGGATCGATTATACCATACATGCAGATAATTTGTTAAATATTATACAAAGGGGTGAAGCCCGCGATGGGTGGTTGGGTTATTGATACAGATCAACATTTAAGGTTAGTTATTATTTCAGAGAATGATTTATATTACATTAACCCATTTTTGCCGTGGGTTATACTCAGTCGTATTATTATTATATCCGGATAAAAACCAGATTTGAAATTTAAAAATTACTAATCCGGATTTGTAATCCTTTTTTTCAACTAAATATCCGTTATCCTCTTCAAACCCGGATATAGGCCAGACCAATTAGATCCTCTGTTTTACATTACCCCCTCCCCAGAGTTCCCACTCTCCCTCATAGTAAAAAAATTTAGATAAATATATATAGGACTTCGGGCTATTTCGGAAAGTTTTTATATGGTCACGGAACAATTCGGAAAACCTTTTTTTGAAAAATTTTTTTTTTTAAATTTTACTATGTAAACCACCCTTCCACCCCCCCCCCCCCCTCCTGAGAGGGAGGGGGTAATGTAAAACAGAGAATCAACTTGGTCTGGCCATATCTGAATTTTGTAAACCGGATCCAAGCACTAGAAATATGAGTTGTAAAATTTGTAATAATTTTTTTCAAATGTAAATCTGCTTGATTTCTATTGATAGTAGCTTATATATCAAAAAAAATATAGAAAGTTTAAATTCTATCATAATATAATCTAATTAGCTTACTATAATACTTAAATAAAAACAACTTTAATATTTTAGTATTTTAATATTTTAGTATTTTAGTATTTTAGTATTTAATATTTTAATATTTTAGTAATTTAATATTTTAATATTTTGTGATTTTGTATTTTAGTATTATGTAGTTTAAAAACTTTGGGTTAAAAATAATAGTTAAGCTAATAAAAGATATATATTATTATTATTATATTCTGTTTTAATACGTAATAATATATTTAAAACAAATAATATTTTAAAAAATATGAAATTTGTAATAAGATTTTTTGAACTACAAATCAGATTTTAAAATTTGATATTACTATAACTTAATTAAAATATATAAAGTAAGTATTTATTTATTAAGAGTACATAGTCTTTTAATGCTTTAACAAAATTTTTTAAAACAAAATAAATCTAAAAAAATTTATTAAAATATTAAAAACCTTTTATATAAATTTGCAATGTTTAACAAATACACGCTTTGAATTTTCTAGTTGTATTATATTAATGTTTATTTTTGAAATCTGATTTGTAATTTAAAAAATCTATACCACAAACCAACATATATTTTAAAACATCCTTTTGCTTAAACAAAATGCGTTAATGATTATGCATATTCCACCAATTATTAGACAATCAAAACCTATTTTTTTGAAAGAAATTTCTAAAACACATGCACTAAACGCTAAAACACTAAAATACTAAAACACAAATGCTTAAATACTAAAACACTAAAATGCTTAAATACTAAACAAAATTAAAAAAAAACTATTGCTAAATCGGGTAAATACTTAACGTGTATAGCACTAAAACAACCAATATTATGTCATTTTGGGTACCTATGGTACACTGAAGCTAAATTTGGTTGATTTTTAATGTATATAACACTAAAACATAAAAACACTAAAACAAATTATGTCATTTTGGGTACCTATGGAGCACCGTAAAAAAATATATCTTAGACTTAAAAATCATATGATAAATATGTTTTATCATCATCATAACATTAATCTTCTCTAACTTAAATCATTAATATCAATAGCATATTGAACTTTTAATTTAACATTTTATAAAAAAGCTTTGCTTGCATAAACACGAACTATTTGGAAATAAGAATTAAGTTCCACTACTTCTTTTTCGGAAATTTTAGTCAACTCATCATATTCTTCATCAGAAACTTGCAATTTTTTTGGTAATACAGGTTTAAGAGAAGCATACGCGGAAGTCAAATTGCCGAGAATCTATTAATTTAACATAATATTAAATACTTTCAATTTCTTTTAAACGGTTCATTTTGTACAATACATTACCGCTTTACTAAGTTTGATACCGTTATTTGTGCCATAATAGCATAGTTTAACTTCTTTTTTAATATTTTCTAATTGACCTAATATGGCAAAAATAATTATTAATGAATTATGATAATTTTATTAACAAATTGTGAATTATAATAATTAAGAGACAAAAACCTTGATTTTGACAATACACCTCTATCTTTTGATATGAATCGAAATCACTGCCTTGTTGTTTTAATATTTCGCATACTTTATGATAATTGAATAAAACATTATGTAAGTAAAGGAATAAAACTATTATAACATTAAAATACACACCACAATCAGCCAAACGTTTAGTAACTGGTCCTGTATTAAAACAAAACAGGGAAGGCTCACATAACTTTTTTTAAAAAAAACCGAATGATCAAAAATATAAATTATTTAAAATATTAACGATCATCATTTATATTAAATTTCAAATAAATATACCTCTAAAAATCCACCCGGTTTAAAACTCTGACCAACTCATTTACTACGTGTGGCCACTTCTCTTCTGTAAGACTAAATACTAAATATCGTTGAAATACAAAATCAAAAGTATTATCATCAAATGGTAATCTTTCTTCAGCGTTTGCCCTAACGAATTCAAAATTTTTAGGTTTTATCGTAGATGGTTGGTGTGGAGATATATCTAATCCAACAACCTTAGTTAATGGGTAACTAAGAACACATTATAAAAACCAATGATTCTTATAAGATTAATGATTCTAATAAGTTTGCAAACCAAAAATTAAAAGTATAGTTATATCTTAGGTGTACGTACGTTGTTGCAATATCAAAAGACCATGAACCTGCGCCACAGCTAAAATAGAATAAACGTTAAGATTTTAGTGTAATGCTAATATTTTTTTAATAAAATTGTCAACACATAAATGTTGATTTTATTGATTTTATTATATGTAATATAATATATATACTGTATAATTAAATTTTTCTTCTATCAATAATAGTTACCCAACATCGAGGACTTTAGTATCTGGTTTAGACAAAAGATGGTCGACAGGAGCAGAAAAGTTGCTTTGCCAGAGATATCTTAATAAGAAATGCTGTAAATGTAACCTATCTGTTTCATTTTCATCGTTTGGTAAATTATATTTAACATTTTCCACGTTGTGAAATCTTCTACCATCAATGTATCGAAATTCAGTTTGTGAACATCGAGAATCCAGATATTCAATTCTTTCGTCTAATATTGATTTAGATGAAAAACATCCCATGGCGAAAATGATAAATGAATGTAAGAAAGTTGAAATTATTTTTAAAAAATGTAACAAAGTTGAAATTAAGCGTAAAAATTGATTATTTTAGAAAAAGTAGTGATAAATACTCAAAATTTAGGTAAATATTTATTGTACTAGCGAAATAACTGCAGCTTACAAACTATCACGTTGTGTGATGTAGTTTAGATAGCCTATCGGGAGCGGTATTGGTAATGAGTCATACGAACCACGTCGTTGGAATCAAAGTGCTTTCACTGATCGACACCGAATTGACCAATTATATTACAAGGTCAGGTGTAACGTGAAAAGCATGCGTTTTTTAATAAACCACCTGTAACACAAAATTCATTTATGTAGTCACTAGTAAAAAAAATTTATTGCATAAGACAAACCTTGCTATAACTGTAAGCCCGATCCTAATGTAATGCTTTATGACTTTAAAAAAATTGCGCATATTTGTTGTTTTGAGTGACCACTTGAAATCATTATACGTTGGGGCTTCCACTAATTAATGTCGCGGATCATAATGAAATCGGATTAAAATGAAATTTTCGGTGGCCTGTTTATTTTACTTTATCTCTCAATTTCATCTTAATCTGGTTTCATTTTAATCCGTCACGATTAATAGTAAAAATGAATAGTAAAGATTTTACGTTGTACAAATTTTTATGAACATTACCTCATTATTCAGCAAATAGAATTTCAAAAATTATATATAACGAAACGTAATCAACATATCACATGACTGATCATGTGGTTTGAAACAAAAATTGCTTAAATCATAAACTCACTTGTGAAACACTACTCAAATTATGAACCCACCTACTGTTAAATTACACAATCCTATTCACTAATGAAATTACGAATCTACACACTCATGTTAAAATCATGAATCCATCCGCCGTTGAATTCGCCAGCTATTAAAATTGTGAACCTATTTACTGTTGAGATTGGTGATCCACATACTGTAAAATGGAATCCACTTACTATTGAAATTATTAGTTTATGCATTTATAAACAACTTGTTTTTATATTGGGTTCAAATAAACGCAAATTAGGTCCATTTAAACTCGATTGGATTATTGAGCCCAACCTAATATAAGAATTTTAAATACATAACAAGTATATCAACTTTCTTTCTAACATCTTGTTTAACTAATACAGTCCTCCCATAAAATAACACAGTTGGACACAGTAAATTTTTTCGAAATGTGCTTATATAGGAGTTGTGCTTATATGGAAGCATATTTTGGCCTAAACATAAATGTGATCACATATGGTCTGCTTATATAGGAGGTGACTATATGGAGGGACGACTGTACTGTATAATATTTTAAATATATTATAAATAGATTTTAAATATATTTTGACTATATGAAGGGACGACTGTACTGTATAATATTTTAAATATATTATAAATATATTTTAAATATATTATAAATATATTTTAAATATATTATAAATATATTTTAAAT